CCACTCAATGCCAACCTGTCACAAGACATAAGAGCGCTCATCTATAAAACCCACCACTCAATGCGCGTGATTAATTTCTCCCGGGTCTCGCCCAGTATCAGAGCGCGCGTGCAGGGTGAGGTGTCTCTATCTCATGCTCACTCACAGACCTACCACTCGCGCCTCAACGTTACTGGGAGCTGATAGGAGGGTAAGTCAAGATAGATGTGGGCTCTACCTCTGTCTGTCCACCGGTACAGGTTGCAGGGATAGTGTAAGGTTACGGTAAAGGGGAGATATGGTGTGTGTGTGTGTGTGTGTGTGTGTGTGTGTGTGTGTGTGTGTGTGTGAGTGTGTGTGTGTCTGTGTGTGTGTGTTGGGAGGGGTGATTTTCGTAAGAGTTTACGGCACTTGCAACACAATATGGTCATATTAGTGTCGAAGATTAGAGGTGTTACAAGAGAGTAACAAACACAAAAAGAAAAAGGGGAGAAAAGGACGATAGATGTTTGATAGGAAAGAAGAAGCAAACCAAACCAGAGCACCCGCCACCCACCCACGAGAAAGAGGTTAAGTGACAAAGTGGTGAATAAATAAATGCAGTATTAGAAGCATGCCAACACGTCATGTTGAGTTAGTTCTGGTCACAGCAGTAGAAGGTACCACAAAAAACCCACAGTTGTTCCACATTTACAGAAGAAAGAACACCCAACTCCCTCAACCAATCCCAACCCTCACCCCAAAACAACAATAACGACGACGACAATAATAGCAATTAAAAAAAAAAACCATTTATAAAAGCAGCAGCACCACCACTACCACCAACACCACTACCAGTAACAACAACAATAACAACAACAACAACAACAACAACAATAGCAACAACAACAACAACAACAATAACAACAATAACAACAACAACAACAACAACAACAATGAGAACAACAACAATAACAACAATAAGAACAACAACAACAACAACAACAACAACAACAACAACAATAACAACAATAACAACAACAACAACAACAACAACAACAACAATAACAACAATAAGAACAACAACAATAACAACAACGACGACGACGACAACAACGTCAGCGACAAATCTAGCAAGGACAAAAGCTCCCAAAACAACAGCAAAATCAACGACAACAACAACAAAGACAAAACAGTACCAACATCACAAAACAAAAGCAATAACAACAGTATTATATCCCAATATACATAATAACAAATATCCCATCTAAGCAAAGCAAACACATCCAAAACCCTTTCACTCATCCTAACTGTTTTATCTTTCTTTTTTATATTATTTTTATTTATGTCCCTTTGTCAATTTCTTCTCCTTTTAAAACGCACCAACTTCTTAAGAATCTACCCGACAACTGCGATATGTAGATCCAAGCACAATAAATTTTCTCTGTCTCCAACGTTTCCCCAAGGACATACTAC